AAACTAAGATCCTATACATTTTATTATAAATTTCCAAATTGACAAAAACAATTACTTTGGAAATAACATTGAGTATTTCTACATTATGTGGAGAACCAGACAAATCAGTGGCCTCAAGCTTAGCAGTGTTAGCATCAACTGGAAGCCTGTGAAACATTGATTTTTGAAACCTCATCCCACTGAATCAATAATCTCTCAAAGTTTCGACCTAGAAACTCTATCAAGAATCTCAATTTTTTAACTTCCTCACATGATTCTTATTAGTACATTGCAGAATTCCTTAAATACATGAGAATTATTTGCAACCTGTAAAGTGAGTTCATTCTAAATGTACCTAAGTAGCTCTTAAGGGCCAACAGATCAGCCTGTTTCTTTCTTTTCTTTTATTTTAAGATTTGTTTATTGATGCATACAGAACTGGGGTACAGGCCAGAGGTACAGGGGCGGTGAGAGGATTCACCAGAGACAAAGTGGAGAACAGGACAGGCTGACTAACGAGGTACACTGCAGATGGGAGCAGCGGGCGGGTAGGAGAGGTCTGCTGGGCCATGTGGGTCACCTCTGGGGCGGGATCGAACTCATGCTGAAGTGGCTTTAGCTTCTTAGTGCTGTGCTTTAACCCACTGCGCCACCAGGGAGGGCCCATCCTGTTTTTTAAATAGGCTAGAACTCTTACAGTCTAGTTTCTGAAAACTTTTTTCATGCATCATGAAAAGAAAAACTTTCGCTGGCCTTTTTCCCAATTATTAAAGTTCCAAATCACTGAAATATAAATAAATGAGACTTTACTGTACTTAGAGCACCAGTTTGATGAAAAATTTGTTTACACCATGAGATTTTAGGTCATCCTTCAATCATTCATCCCCGGAACCCAAGTACATACGCGCACGAACACACACATACGCACTCACACACACGGATGTGACACATGGCAAATTAATTGCGCAATTACTGAGATGGAACAAAGGAGACCTTCAGATTCCATCGCCTTCTCAACCTATGTTTTTCTATGCAAGAATCTCAGGACTCAAATCAAAGGCATCCAAATAAAATCATGACATACTGAGCTCTTTGTCTAAATTTCTCTAAATCCTGTCTTTTAAAAACATGACTTAGGTCTCAGCAGTGATAAGGTGAGGAGTGAGCTGGAGAATTTTTAAAACATTAAGATTTGAAGAGAATATATTCATTTTGGCTGAATCGGTTTCCTATGTAAAGAGGGTCATATGAGTAACTCTTAATTATTACAATAGGGCTACATTTATATATTTTTGCCTAATCTAAAATTAAACCTGTAAGCTCTGCTAGAATTATTTAGAAAAGAATAATTGAGCCCTCCTTCAGTAAGCTAATTCAGAATCTCCTAATTTTACTTTTCTAACTCAAAAAGTATCTTTTTTCATGATATTTTCAGATTGTAGTTCACACACATCTAACAAAGAGCATGTTCATCAGGGGTTTCAATATCTAATACACATTCATTATTACCTGTCATTATTGTCATTGTTGCTATTATAATTGCACATTGTAAAAAAGAATGGAAGCTTTTCCACAGGAATTATTCACATGTATTACTTTCTAGGAGTAATTGAATAGTTGACATTACACTTATATCAAAATAAAATATGTGAGGGTTTTTCTCATTTGTTTTATTCTTAAGAAAGAAGAAATGTAATTTCTATTGGTTCCCTTTATTTGGATCTAAAAACATTCACAGGTTTACATAATGTCCAGATGCATGTTTTCTTATGACAAGACTCAAAAGATAATTTTCTAAGAACATAAAATTTTTGCAACTGGGTAGTGAAGTCCTCTTAATTAGCTTGTCTTTGTATATATGAACACAATAAGTCTTTCAGTGAAAAATGTTGCTTTTCTTTTTTTGACTTCAATCAGGTTTGATATGTTGAAATAAAGTCACAGTATATATTGTCACTATCTAAAGATTGGTCAGTAATAATTTATTATTACCTTATTTACACTTCATTGTTTCATATAATCCTCATACACAATCCTTTGAAGAGGTGAGTCAGATATTGTTAGCCTATTTAAAGATGAGGAAACTTAGACTATAGAAGCTACATAATTTATACAATATCACCTGATGAATAGAAAAATAAACATGAGAATTGGGGTTATTTGATTCTTAGTAAAGTTTTTTAAAAATTTTTAAAAACATCTTACATGCAATGCTACTTACGTGTTGTGCTCTATTTTTTTTTTTTTTTATTTCTGTGTTCCCCTTCACAAGGTACAGTTTTAAACTTTCTTAAGAATTAACACTGACACAGGTTAGAAATGGTTAGAGTAACACTAGCTTACTACAAGACAATTAGAACCAAAATAAGTCAAAATTTATTAGAAATCGAATGATAATAGAAATATAATAATGCAAAAAAAAAAGTGTCGTCACTCACTAATAAAGCAATAAACAGTGAACTCAAGACTGCTCCTTCACACAAAACACAGCCAATGAAGGTAGGTAGGATTTCCTTTACTTCCATGTAATTCTTCATCACGTTCCCTGAGGAGGTTGGACTGGTTCAGAGATTTATCCTAGTTTCTATGGAGTCTTGCCTTTGCTGTACTAGCCGGCCCTTTGAATCATGTCATTGTTATTAAAGGTGGAAGTTGTTGCCGTTTGCTAACTGCGCAGTGGCTAATGTTTTTGATAGTCTCAGTCAAGTTCTTAAAAGACAGATGGCAATAACTGGCTCTTTGGACAGAGAGAACAAAGACTCCAGACCCTCTCCTCAGCTGCAGAAACAGGCCATGTAAGTAGGGATTGAAAATCACCAGTGAGATTGGTCCAGAGAAGGTAGATCCACCAACCCTGCAAGCCTATTTGAGCAATGCAGTCATATCTCTTTATCATTCATGAAACGCATTTTCAAAATAGCACATTATTTAAATATTAAAACAGAGAATTGATTATATCCACTAGCACCTCAGTGTGTCCTGTGCCCTGTCTCTATGTCTGTGCCATAGATTCTGGTCTCTGTGCTCTCACCTGCAGCCTGGACACACATAGATGTGACATGCACGCACAGCCACAGAATCTCTGGACGTCTAGTTGAGCAAATGTACCTACTTGTGACAACTGACAGCATACTTAAAGAATGTTTGCTCTTAACCCTTCATCTCTCTTTCACACTCACAGAGGGCTTACTTGTTTGGATTTAAGTTATAGTTATGGAGGGAGCCATATTAGCTCTGTAACCATATCTATTGAAGGTAATAGGACACAAAATTTGTGTATCTGCCATTTCCAGGTGAAAGAAAGCTACTTTCTGCACTGAGTTTCCTTAATCCTTCTCCACAAACCACCCTAGCTACTGAAATCTTAAAATAGGGAGACCTCTGCCATGTATTCTGTTTTTGTTCCAACTACTGGGTCCGAAGCCCTTGGATTCAACCCCAAAGTTCTTTAAATTCAACAGAGTTGTGGAGGTTTTGTTGTTGTTGTGGCAAAATTAATATTGCAAACTGATACTGCACGAGGTACTCTTTTGTAAATATCTATCCCCCTGTCCATGAGTCCCTACTAGGGGTTTCTCCAGAAGGTATTTTTCCCACTGAGGCATGTACAATGCATTCAATGGCACCAGAGTTTCATTAAAGGAATCCTCTTGTTCCCTTCCTTCACATGGAAATGTCATTAACTGTATTAAGTTAACTCTCCGAATGTTAGGTTCTTAACCAATAAACAGTGCTTCTCCACAAGGGCATACTTCGCCAAGCATCCTTGAATCACAATGATGGGCTGAATATGTAATAATTGATTCAGAGCCACACTGGGCTGTGGTGATATGTAAGAGGAACCTCTTTGTATTTATTGACTTTTTCTTTCCATCATGATTGTTCTGTTTCTTCCACCACCACCTTCAGTCTTTCAGGTAAACGAAAAGTTCAATTATATGTAAAGCGACAGTTAAATCAGCAGGCCCCTTGTGGGGGGCTGGGCCTCCCCTCCCCGCTCCAATCGCAAGTGTGCTCAATCCATTACTGTTCCTGAGGATCGTGCAGCCATCAGGTCGAGTGTGCCGGCCAGGGTGCATCTTATAGCTTTTACTGCATATGAGACGTTGCAGGCCTGTTCTCAGGAACTGCCAGGCAGACTGGGAATCACAGTCACGGTTAATAGCAGCGAATTGCCAGCTCTTGATGGGTGGGTAGTCACTCCTTTCAGTGGTTGCCCCCTGGGGGAGAAGGTAGAAAAACAGAGGGAGGGAATTAGAGTGACTTTGCACAGTTGAGCAGGTTCATGCCGCTGGATCAGTGGCAAGCATTGGCAGGGCTCCACTCTGGGGAGGCTCAAAACAACCTCACAGTCTCATTTTTACCAATTGGTGCTGCTGTGTCGCCAGTGGTGCCCGGGGGTTTGAGGGGAGGAGGGAGGAAGAGCTGGGAATGGGGTAAAGGCAAAAGTCTCTGCTAAATTTAAAAAAAAAAAAAAAAAGTCATGTTCCTACTGGTTAACCCATCCCAGTTAGCCCTATGCTTTTAATTGTACCCAACTAGTATTTGAAGTTCCCTGGGTGATTAAAGAGTTGGCTCACAAACTCTCTGCATAACCTTAATTTTTTCAAGGTTCTTTGAGTGGAGAATGGCTTATAATAATGATTTTGACTAATACGATTTTTGACATGCAACTTTAATGCTTAACCTTAGTACAACTCCAGAGCATTTCATGTGTACTCAGCTGTAAAGAGTGATGATTTAAAGGGATAATATAAGAAAAAGGTCGTTCTAGAATGAACCTCTAACAAATTGCATAAAGGGAGCTTATTATTCCATGAGTATGGGGATATGCTGCTGTTCTGATCATTTTTCTGCTTGGTTCAAAAAAATTGTTGAGACATGAATGGGAGAAGAAACAGGAAAAAATGAAATAGAAATCTGCAAGCAAGGAACATTCTTTTGATGGTTATGATTTCGTTGCCACTAAAAAGGCTCTACAATAATGTGGTTATTCATCTCCTCTTTTGTTTTGGGTGAAGAATTCGCTCTAACAAGAAAATGCTGTTATTGGTTGGAGGACTGCCCCCGGGGCCGGACCGGCTCCCCAGCAATTTGGTTCAGTACTACGATGATGAAAAGAAGACATGGAAAATACTCACAAGTGAGTGCCCTTCTTTATTTATTTACCCACCTATTTATTTCAGGTTAGAGCTGTCTTGCTGAATTTGAAAACATGGTTAATCAAATTAGACATGTTATTGATTTGTTACCCTTTGGAGGTCTGTTTATGTATCATAAGGGATTTAGAGTAAGAGACTAAATTAACATTGCAGAGGTGGCCAATTTGGTAGCTGAATAGGCCTAAATTAAAGCTGGCCTAAAATCACTGCATGAGTTTATGTTTCTGGGTGTGCTGTATGGCAGAGGGGGAGGACAACCAAGATCTGCCCAAAGAAATGTTTTCAGTTATTGTTTTTGTCCATTAAAAACTGAAAGGTCGGTGAATTGCACTGGTACATTTTCTCACGTTGTTTAGGTCATTGTCCCTGGAATGAACATTCACTTGGCTTTTTAGGCATTTTTTGCTCAATAATCTTTAATTGGTGGAGCTAGGTCTTTGGAGAATCACCCCCCTTTTAGGCCTCCTGGGTTTGGATGGACAGATCTATCTGGGGCCTATTCCAGTCACATTAAATTGTGCTTGCAAACTTCCACCCAAGATTCTCCTCCTCCCCTCCTTAAAGGGTGATTGTGTTTTACAGCAAACCTCTTGCCTTGGGCACTGAGATTGGGAACTTATTGTTCTATCGGTTATGATTCCCAATCTGACTCAGTCATGGAATCCAAACTCATCGTTTGCTGAGTGCAGCAGGCTGGTGCACCAGTCCCCTCGTGGTACACTGACTGCACTGGTCAATAAAACTAAATTTTAACTGTCAAAATTGCCCTGAGCTGTATAGATAAAATAATAAATGAGCAATTTGGATCCATAAATCAAAGCTATACATTTAAAACCGACAAAAGTGAAAGTTAGATTTTCTTAGTGCTTGTGTCTTCAGCTATATGTTTTATCATATTTTTTTCAATCATTTCCTACCTTTTTTTTTTAACTGAAACCCTTTAAAATAATAAAAGCAGGACAATAGTTTGCCCAAAAGAGCAGAAAAAGGAGTAAAGACATGTGAGGTGGTGCTTGAAATAATACATCTCAGAGCTGGCTTACCCCAGCGAAACCTGCAGTAGCATTGTCCAGGAACTGCAACGAGAAAGCTCCCTGGGCACCTATACACAGCGGCTCTAGTAAAGAAGTGGTGGAATAGTAGCCATGAGATTAAGGAGAAGTAAGAAAGAAAAATAAGTTAGTGATGCCTTCAAATGATTTTTACTTTCTTTTCAACAACAACAAAACACCATCAATACTGGTTTAAATACCTGAAGGGGTGACTAAGCTGTATTTTAGCAATTCATCAGACAGTAAAGCTAAAATAAAACCAGAGAATCAGTTTTCTGATACTTGGTTAACAGAGAGAGCCTACACAGACTGAGACACAGATACTAAAAGGAAAAAAGAGGATGGACTAAAGAGTCTGAGACAGAGAAGCAGAGGGTAAAGAACAGGGAGATCGTAGAGCTACACCATAAATGATAGTCATTCACCCATCTGTCTGTTTTCCCAAATACCCCCGGTTTGGACCAATGTGCTATTTTTTTCAAGCCCTTTGTTAAAGACAAAAAGAAACCTAAGAAAAGTTGTATGTACATTTTTAAAACATGCTCAGAGACAAGGTGAGCCATTTACACACCAAACTGGAACTTTATGGAATGGAAATCTCTTCATTGTGCTGAGACAACAGGTATAGACTGACATATGTGGTTGATTTCAGGTTGATTTTACACATTGCTTAATTCAGGTCTTTAGAGGGATGTGGTAAGCAAGCATGAACTTGAATGAGACCTTCAGCAAGTCACATAAATGTCCTACGTCATGGTTTCTTCATTTTGTCATTTGAGTATCTTTAAATAAAGTGGCATTATAGTCATCTAGCATATAGCATGAACTAAGCAAGTGACAGGTACAGTCACTGTTCTAGCAACGCCACTGACAATGCCGGCATGAGGATTGTGTGTACCTTTATTCCTTAGAGGCATCAGTCAACTCAGGCTCACCATGCAGATGGGAAGAAAATAACACATCAACAGACAAGCTGCCTATTGTTCCCGAGAAGGGACCAGTTGGGTGTAGTAATCTATAAACTAAAAAGTAAAATTAAAGGGTATTTGTAGACTCCACTCACCATATTTTAAATTAAAGAGAGAAAATGACACTTATGTGTAAAAAAAAAAATAATTCTTATAATATGATTTTTCTCTGAACTTGGGCATGCTCACAGCTTTCAACTAAATGTCTACTGTACTCAAAGTCTTCATTTCTCTGGGATTTGTATTTTGGAAAAAGAGTCCATTTCCAGTTGATCTGTGACTACATGGCCCAGTGAAGGCACACTTTTCAGCTTTGTCAAAGGAATGTAGACATTTTATTTGGATGATTTCTGCTGTTAATTTTTTTTTAATGAAGGTGTTTTATTTGACTAAATTAAACAAAGAAGTCAAGTAATTGACAGATCTTCACAATATTTGTTCCATCTAGTAGTAAATGAAGACATGTTTCCCACTGGAATCATAAAATATCCAAGTTCTCCCAAAATCCATAGAGACATTGGGATGACAGAGCTTCTCACTGCCTTGCTTGTGACCCAGAAAAACTGCTGAGCTAATTGGCAGGGAAGTGAGGATGACAGTTAATGTGAGGAGACAGTTCCTGATTTGGGGTCTGCTTATTTATTGAATGACTATCTCCATACAAATGAACAAATCAGCTGACAGGCAAAAATCTAAAACTGGCATTACCTTGAGCCGCCAAATCTGAGAGTTGTTTTGCCCGCTTGGCTTGAGGAAACAGTTCTCAGACTGTCTCACAGAATCCTCCTTCCAGAAAGTTGCTTTCTATAGGCAGGAGCAGACACCTCCCAGGAGCCACGCCATTTACTCATATTCTATAACAAAAAAGAATCACATAGTCAGTGTTCTTCTGCTCTTACCCTGTGACATTATTTACATGTTGGAAATTGTAAGGGAGACCCTTACTAATAAGCACTTAAATAATAATAAATTGAAAGCATGTGAAAAAATGAATCTACATAATACAGTAAAAAAACAAAGCAAAACAATGTTAAACTGCCAGGCAGCCAGTGGTTTGGTCTACCCAAAAAGCAAAGGGAGCAATTATTCTCACTGAAGAGACTGTTTTAGTGACATGCTGGTATAGAATTAACTTTTATCCTCCTCTTTGGAAAACTCAATGTAAATATAACCTTTTATAATTGATATTAAGAAGTGTCAGCACTCTCTATCAGAAAAATACTGAGAAATCACATGTAAAAACTGACTTAAAGTCCTCTTGCAATTGTGGAGTCTGAAGTAATAATGATATAATTGGCATTGTTGTTCTCCTGACTTAATAATAAAGGGGAAGTTGAAATGCACTTTCGTTCATCTTTATTTTACAGTACTGCTTTTCTTGCATTTCTCACTCCTGCACGCAGTCTCCCGTTTCACTCTTAACTTATTAGAAAGCAGTACAGGAGACATGAATACTAAAATGGTCAATGCAAGAAAAACACACCTCCTGCACTTTGCAGGCCCTAGATCCTCCATGCAGAAATCAAACTAAACAAGCCTACGGTTTCTGCATGCTTTTGATAGCATACTTTTTACAGCCCAAAGTTTTTATAAAGTCCACATGGGGAAGCACCTGTCATTCTTCCCAAGAGACAGCACCAAGGAGGTGCAGCTAATGTGTTTGTCCTCCCCGTCAACTGATGTGATGTCTTTGCTGGTGGGTTGAAGGTGCTTACCAAGAACTGACTTCCTTTGCCCCACATTTCAGATAAGAGATTTCACTTATTGGTGTTGCTTATGGCTTTCTGTGAGTAAGACAGGAAAAAGGATTTCAAAATATTTATCCTTCCTTTGCTAATGATGACTTTCCTTTAATAAATATTAGAATAGGGCCCTCCCTGGTGGCACAGTGAGTTAAAGCACAACACTAAGAAGCTAACGCCACTTTAGCATGAGTTTGACCCCTGCCAGGGAGGTGATGCCATCAGGAAGTGATCCACATGGCCCTACAGACCTCTCCTGATCCGATCCTCTCTGCTCCCCTCAGCAGTGTATTTCAGTAGATCTGCCTAGTTTGCTCCCCGCTCTGTCTCTGGTGAATCCTCTCACTGCCCCTGAGTCTCTGGCCTCTGCCTGAGCTCTGTATGCACAAATAAATAAATCTTTTTTTAAAAAAAAAAATATTAGAATGAAAATTAGAGGAGTTAAGTTAAAGAGCGTGCTCTTTCTTTTGAACCATCTAGTTCCCTTTAGAGGTGAGAGGTGGGGAAAGTGTCTTTTCTCCCCTCCCCCACTTCCTTCCAGCCAGTTGTAACTACCCTCTGGTACTGCAAGGAGTTGGGGACTTTTAGTTTTCAGTCCTAGAAAATAAAGGAAACTGTTGGGCAGAAGTTTCCTGTGCTCTCTTCTCTGACTCATGAAGATATTTAGCTTGACCACATCCACGCAGGAAGGGTGGTGGGGCAGGACGTCAGCAACTTATTTGGGGATAGTGATTAACCTCAGGTTGGCGGACTCCTCATACCTTTGAAAAACTATATTTTTTGTAAATGTTGCATGCTGAGAAACATAAATGTTGAGAGAACAAATCTTATATAAGTTCCTAAACTTCAAATCCAAAAGAACACAGGTTTGATCATATCTGATGGACTTTCAGTTGGGCTTCTTTGGCCCCTCTGTTTTTGGATTTCTGTTCACTTCTGTTTGGGGCAATGTCATGGGAAAAGTCAAGATAGTAAAAATTTAATAACCATTTCTCGGTTACTTATTTTGAAGGAAAAAAAGTAAGTTTAGTTGACGATTTTTATTAACAGTGGGTTTCCTTTTTTCATGTTATCTTTATTACCAAGAACCAGAACCCACACGTTATTTCATTGAATTTCTACACAGGTCAGTAGCATCTACAGATAGTGACTTTCTCAGTGTAGAAAACTTCAGGAACCAATTATGTGTTTTTTTTAAAATAACTGAAAATGGTTTGAA